GATGCTCTATCAAAGCAAGATACTTCTTAAGTTTGAGGCTTAAGTCAACAGCTAGGAGAGAATGCCCGTATCTAGCTCGGTTGATTCTGGTTGAGATAGTGTGGTCGATGTATACGCCTGAAAATCTTCCTCACAGGTGGACGATGGTGTGGGTGGTAATGCCATTTGGCGCCGTCGAAGGCTCACTCGATGTCTTGCAGCCGTCTGTCGGAAGGGCACGGCAGCTTCGTCTATAGCGGCCTAGATTCGAAAAAAGATGCAAAAGGAACTGTAGCACAAAATATTTTGTTACATGTGTAGGAAGCCATAAACAAAATGGAATATCGGTCAGCACATAAAAGATTTATAGAGTAGTGAAATATTTTACTACTAAAAATATATAATCATCCTGCTCAATAATTGGAAAGTACACAGTAGAGAAACTAGATTACACATGTTTCATATAAAAAGAGCTTTATAAAAACATCCAAAAAACTTAAAAACATTCTTTTTATAACCAACATGAGCTCCGATATGTGGGTGAGATAAAAATGATGGAAGGGTAAACTAAAATTTCAGATAAATTTATCGAGTCCGTGTATTTTATGCCCGAAACGAATAGTATTTTAAAATAATTGTATTGTCAAATGAGTCTCTGTATAGCTAGCTCCGGACAAATTAAGCCATAGTAGGTTTACACGCTCAACTTCACTAGCTCAATAGAAGCATAAAAGCTGGCACAACACAGCCTATCGACAATTATACGCCATTAAGGAAACCTAAATGATATGTTAGCCAGGCCGTATTCTAGCCACATTACTTGAAGTTTATTAAGGGGCACACAAGGATAACCACTTGTAATTTTAAATAGAATCATTATACTCTGTCGACGTGATTCCCCAAATTATCATTGTTTTGCCTATAATTTTAAAAGCTAGAATAATAGTGAAGTTGGAAGATAATAAAGGTTCTTTAGTTCCCTTAGCTCTCACAAAGAAGTTACCCTTCATCAACAAAATTTTATTACTATTTTCTATATGGCTTAGAAGATAAATAAATTTTATATTGACAAATGGTTAATTTTGCCAAGTAGGTTATTCCAGAGTCCACCAGTGAATTGACGTATAAAACTAAAAACCTAGAACCATAGTGAAAGAAAAGACATTCTAAGTAATTTAATAGAGTAAATTGTTCAAAAGTAACGTGAATAATTAAGAAAGACATAAAATTTCAAACCTTTTTGCCTGGGCCATATATATACATGAATGAGATTGCATATATAAAGCATTAAATAAATAAAAGTTATAAAATACAAAATAATATTACAAAAACGGCGGAACCTAGTCAAAAAGATGACGAAGTTATTCAACTTGATCTAGAGAGTAAATGAGATGAAAGTAGGTTAAATACTAATAAATATCACTCAAATCAAGTATACTCATTTCAGATGTTTGTGCTCAGAAGAAATAAACAGTCCAGCATTTGATATCCAGCTAGAATATGATGTAAGTAAACTGTGTACTTTAAAATTGCAGGTGTCTAACTAACCTTGAAAAAAATAGGTAAAAATGTTGAAAATATGAATTAATGAACTTTTTTCGAAAAGAGATCAAAAAAGATTTTGAAAAATTCATTTGAATTACAAAATTGCATTTGTTAGTTGGCATTGAAAACGTAATTAATGTAAGTAAGACTTTGAAGTAATAGGAGATTACCATCTTTACTGTGCATATAGTATTCAGAGATTATAACAAATTGAACGTAGCATAATAGGGAAAACTCAGACTAATGTAAAGAATTAAGTTCAATGAACTAGCAAATGCAAGTTGCATGATCGTGGTCCAATTGAATTAGCAATTAAATAGACAGTATACAAATATCTATATCCAGGAGTCGTATCAGATTGAATAAAATTATGTAAACATTCTTATGAAAGGGTTGTTTAACCTTGTTTTAGCAACTTGGTTATATTGGTATGAAGACTTAGAGGAATTCACCTAGTCCGGAGTCTATTGCATGCATGATCATTTCCAAAGTCGGACCGTGGATATGGTACATTACCGGATGTTTCGCCGGCATCGTAGTCGGCATCGTCAGGGAGTCTCGCCATTCTTAGCACCACACAACAACTCTTCAAGGATACAAGTAAAGCCGATCCTTTGACCAAACTTAAGCTAAACTGTTGTGGTATCTCTTCTTCTGCCCTGGGCTATTCACATTTCCTATATTCTTTATGGTACCGCTTGTTTTGATAGGTTTCAATGTTGAACCAATCACTGACGCTGTCAGCAAAACGTCAGGAATGTACCACTTCCACTGTTCGACTCTAGAAATGATCATGCATACAATGAACTCCGGACTAGGTGCGTTCCTCTAAGTCTTCCTATCAATATTACCAAATTGTGAAAACAAGGTCAAACAAACTCTATACAACGAAAGGAGACTACGACCACACAAAAGGCCACACCATTTTGGTCTTCATACCTTTGATTAAACTATGGAAGTAAGATTTCCAAACAATGCATTGATTACAGTCCGGCAAAGAAGACAATTGTAGGTCAATCATGCCATTAAGCCTTTTTTTAATTGTTGCAAACATTATGATATTGCTCCTCGATTCTGCAATCTAATGAGGAAGTGTCATTCGTACTCAGTTAATGAAATACTTTATTACGGCTCCATCCAAAAAATAGAGGAAATTTACGAGACTGAGAGGCGTAAGCTATTTAAGTTCATAGATCTCAAGTCTAAAGTAAGAAAGGATCTAGGTAGGGTTCTCACTTTGGATGATTTTCAAAAACTCCAGAGCATGACTGACCAAAGTCACAGAGGGTCAGGGTTATGATAAATAAGCGGCATGACAAGAAATTTCTTAGCTATGTTATAATAAGACAGCGCAAGATCAAGCCAACCCGAGCAAATTATGATGGTTTTGTATTGTAAACATCAACTGCTACAGACGAGGATAGGACAAAGGTGGTAAAACTATCTTCAATCCCTCTAGATTCTGAAACTACGAATCTCTTAAAGAAGCGGTTACATTTTTCACTAGGTAATAAAAGAAACGTTTTTAGTGATATTCTGGTTGAAGTTGTCAACATAACGGATAATTATCCACAAGAGACAAGGCGGGAGATATAACTAGAAATAATCCCACGGATCATGACACATCAAGAACCGATAGAAAGGAGCAGATTGGCTGGTATTCGAAAAAAAATACAATAGAATGATCAAATAGTTCTTCAGGCGGATAAGGGAGGGGCGACGGTTGTAATAGACAAGAAACAATACACGGGAAAAATGGAAAGTATCCTTAGCGACATAAACAATTATCAAATACTATGCAAGTATCCAAACACGAAAATCAACGGTACACTGAAAAACATGCTAAAGGAAAGGCATAATAATGGGGAAATTGATATATGGATAATAAAATCTTTAATCAAAAATGACGAGAGACCACTGACAACCTACTGACTACCGAAGATACACAAAGAAAGAAATCCACTAAGACTAATAGTCAACAACTAGCATGGAGCTGCATTTGGTGAAAATACGAGAAAACGCAAGATCCGAGATGCCATCGATATACTGACCGAGATAAATTTAATAAACAGGAGACTTGAAGAAGGCAGGATCAGCGAAAACTTTGCATATTGCCTAATCAAACTCAGAGAAGACCAGGCGACAGCAAGATCAGCAAAAGGAAGACGACTAGATCAAAGTAATATTCTTAATTTTAGGAAAAGAGATCGCATGGGGATGAGAATGGAAGAATCAGAAGCAAAGAAGAGACATATTCAGTGAGCCTAATTTGAACAAGTAGAACCACAACATTTGTGGGTTGGCACACAAGAGACTAGGACATAGGAAGTGATGGAGATGGTATTACAGATAGAAACAAGAAAGACGCGGTGGAAACTAAAGCTATTTGGCCAACAATAGACGTGTTTGATCAAAAACGTGATCCTTGAACCTAATCAAAGAAAGCAGTACCACATTATTTGTGGGCTGGCACACAAGCAAATAGGGAATGGCAAGTCATATACTTGGTATTAGGAATAGAGACAGGATAGACGAGGCGGCGATTGGGGCTAGTTGGCTGACAGTAGGTTTACAAGAGACGTGGTCAATGTAGCAAAGGCATGACCATTAGACTTACTCAGAGGCTTTAGTCTCGAATTAGTCACTAAGACGCAGATTGTGAGAAATATCGCTTCGTGTAGCTCAGATAGGGTGGCAGAGGTCGAGTGAAATGCTTGAACCAGGGCGATAGCAGACGGATTCTACGGGGAAAGAGGGAGACTGTAATAAGACCTACAGAAGGATGACCGCGTAGCAATATAGCAGACTCTTTTCAACATTCCCAGCACAAGGGTTAAGGGGGTGATAACAACAGCATGGAGTGTGAAGGGTTTTCATGAATGCCGCTCAAAGGAGCACGCCACACTTCATCTAAATAAGCACGGTAAAAAGTATACCAGTGAAGGCGTGATAGGAGGATATAGGAAATGCGAATAGCCCAGGGCAGAAGGGGAGATACCACAACTGTTTAG